AACAAGAAAAAAAAATTAAAAATAATTACAACAAAACTATGATATGTAAAAAAGCTTAAACGCAAAAAAAAAAAAACACAAAAACTACAAAAGAGTTATGCCAACTGAAACCGCTTTCGTATGTGTGTCAATCAAAGGCAGTGCAAAATGTGCGCCAAATCGAATTACGGCACTGAAAAGTAAAAATCTGTAAATATTTATAATAAATGCTCTGCGATTGAAATGCGTGTGTGCAGCAGATCGCAAAAAATGATAATTAAATGAATTAAAATTTATGAAAACATCAAACGCACAGTAATCTCATTAGCGTCGTGCGTGGCCACCGGCATAAAAACCACGCAAAATGTTCGGCTGCATCTACCAATTATGGGACTGGTGAGTAGAGAGGGGTGTGAGGTGGTGGCTCTGCATGAGCGGGTTGATATAAAATTATAGTTTAAAATATTTTCGCAAATGAATTGAGTGCCGCCGACAAAGCGCTGAAATAATATTAATTTACGCAAATTGCAATTTTTTATGTTGCACAGCGCTTACTCACACACACACACACACACACAAACATGCTTGCAACAATATATCTTTGCATGCATGTGTATGAGCGTTCATATGCAGTTATGCACCTAAGGGCACTTAATTTAATTTCATGCTTGCTGTAGTTTGTGAGAGTTGGTCGCATGAGGGTCATTAGTGGCAGCTATTGAAAAATAAAACTAATTACACTGTGCGACAAAGTTCTTTATACAGCTCCCGTTAAAAGCGTTATGCATTGAAATTACGAGATCAGATCAAGTTTGGTAAATGCTGTTAGTGAATTAAGTGTTGCTTTACGCATAACCCTTTTAAATGGGTTTCATTTATTTATTATTATGCTAAAGTTTATGATATGGGACTTTTAACACAACTTTGATTTTTTTCTTATTTCACTTTGAGTATATCACTTCTTCTTCTTCTCTTCTCTTATTCAGGAACAACCATTACATTCACCTTAATTGATAGTTTAAATAGAAAGAAGTTGATCTTGATATAATCCAGTTCATACAAGACGAGGCTACGTGCCATACAGCACTTGCAACAACCGAATTATGCAAGAAAAGTTCTCGAATATACGATTATTAATTAATTAAAATTGTGACATTGAATGGCCTCCAAGAAGTTGTGATTTAGCACAATTAGTATACTTCTTGTGGCGTTGTTGGAAGCCATTGGTCTTTAAATAATCCAGGGTGTATGAATTAGCCCCCACTGAATTAACCCACACCGTGCAAAATGACTTAAGATCCACATTCAGAAGTTCTCACTAAATAAAAAAGATTCGAATTCCCCTAACAATTACTTTTTTTTTTGTTTTTTTAAGAAATCATATCACTCTTATTGGAAAACCGAATAAAAATAAAGTTTAGTACATTGGTACAAAATTCGAGAAAAAATAATAGCAGATAAAATTCTGTCAGTCTCCAAAGTACAATGATAGCGCTGCCAATTGTAAATTGTATTGGTTCACAAACGCAGAGGCAGTATCAGGTGAACGCTTTTCCTAGAACTTTGGAATAAAAGAAAAAGTAGTCTTAGGTATATTAATGATAACCTTAATGTTTTCTTACATTTATGGGCCTCCATTTGGAAAGTTCGGTGAAACATTCCAATTTTCGACTAAAGCAAAAAAAGCTTGTCCTAGAATCCATCAGTCATTCGAACACAGATTAAAACTCTTTATTTATAAGTTAAAAATAAAAAAACCAATTTACAATAAGAGTATAGAAGTTCAGACAAATATCAAGCAGTGGTGTACTATATACAGTAATTTTGCAATGAGACAGAAACGTTTTTAAGGGCTTACGTGGGTTCACAAGTATCATAAAATCGATTTTATTATAGTCCTATTAAATTCTACAACACCTCTATGGTATTGTCCTAAAGTCAAGTTGATCTGAGTAATAGTTTCGGAAATACAGCCTTGAGAACTTGTGCACTCGAGACAAGCTAGGCTAAGAGCGACGTCTTTGAACGCGTTCTTCTCGAATCTTAGCTTTTGAAGTCGGTTAGGAAGATTTCTCGAAAACTACTTAACCGAAAAATATTTGCCAAAAATAAATTATCAGTGTTTTTGTCCTTTGTCCACGTTCTAAGTTAAGGTTTTAACTAAAAGTGTTTTATCTTTCTAGATGAACCTGGAAGTAGCTATTCTTCCAACGCGGGTGCATCCTTTTTCCGTGGGCTTACCGGAAATAGCGTCCCAATGGCAGAGTTTAAAATATTTTTTTTCCAAAAATTTCAGAATTTCTTTGTTAATAGTGCTTATTTGTAACAAAAGAAATTATAAAAAAATATTTAATTTTTATATAAAAAAAATTGTTAAAAAATGCTGTTCGAAACCGACTTCCACTAATATCGTCACGATTAGAAATAAAAACTCAATTTTATGAAACTCTGAAACTCATTTTGCCTCATGTATCAGGAAATTTGATAAAAACTAGTCTTGATACATAATGTAAATTTCAATAGTCATTGGAATAAAAGTGGCAAATATGAAGTTATAGTAAACAGTATAAGTTATAACATTCAGTACCTGCAGTACCATTCCTAAATACTTTACAAATTTAAAATTGTTTTATTGGGTTGGCATTTGCTTTCGCTTTTAATTGCGAGCTTTATTCCGCGAGCGCTTGACATTGCACAATAATGATGCTTCTACAGATGCACAATCAGGGGGATGAGTTTAAAGCATCAATTAAAAGTAATTAAGTTAATACAAGCAACGGCATGTCCTCCAAGCAGAAAAAAATAAAAAAATAAATCATTTTTCAAATGCAACCCTTTGTGAATAACTGACAACCTTGCAGCAGCAGAAACGCAATGAAAATGTAATAATTGAATGAAACATTAAAATGCAAATAAAACGATGAAACGGGTTTCCAAGTGACGCGCGCAAACAACGCTGACGTCAAAGAGCGACATTGCGACAACTTACCCCTTTTAACTACCCCATACATACCATTTTAAATCCCCCGCAGTTATTACATGCCATATTGCTTGCTTGCATTACTAATATTCCCCTATTTCTATTATTTTCTCTTCCTTGCGCAGGTTGGACGCCCCACCGCTCTTCAACGGCGCCACTATGGACGCGAAGAAGCTGCAACAGCTGCAGCAGCAAGCAAACGCGCAGAAGAAATTGCCACTCGCCTATCAAACGAACCTCGTCGACTATCGCGCCGCCACTCACTCGCCAGTCTTTCAGCAACAGCAGCAGCAGTCCGCAATGAGCGCCTATCACAGCGTCGGCGGCAGCGGCTATCAGCAAAGCCCCACCGCCACCTCCTCGAGTGGTGGTCCACTCACACCCATCGACATGCAACCGCAACCAAATAAAATGCTGCTTAAGCATATGACCGGAAGTGGTGGCAACACCTCGAGCAGCTCACACAGCTCGCCGTATCACCAGTCGTCCTACAACAGTGGCGGCGAGCAGCTCTATCAGTCACCGACGGAACGTACCTATTTGACAGCGGCTGGACGCCTGCAGGCCACCTCGGCGCATAATCCTGCCACAGCGCTGCAACAACAGTACCAACAGCTGCAACAAGCCAAGCTGCAGGCACAAATGCAGACGCAGAGTGAGGCGGTGCAGCAGCAGCAACGCACATTCGCCATGCGGCAGGCCATGAATCCGCCAGTGCCGCAGGGACACTTTCATATGAGTCAGTCGTCGAGTATTATGTCGACAATCACTTTGCAACAGCAGCAGCAACAACAACAGCAGCTGCAGCAGAATGCAGCTGCGGCGGTGCATGGCCGTGCGCCACCCTCCACCTTGAATCTGAATAGTCAATACCAGCCAGCAGGCGGTGTGGGGCCATTGAAGGTCAATCAGAAGCAGACACAGCAGCCGCAGCAACATTATCACACACAAGATCAGCAGCAAATTTACGCACAACACCAGCAGCAACATCAATTACAATTGCAATTGCAGCATCAGCAACAGTTGCAGCAACAGCAGCAGCAACACGCACATCAACAACAACAGCAACAGCAGCGCTTGAAATCGGAGCAGACCACACCGGGCAGTGAGCAGAGTCCCGTTTACATACAACAAAACCATCCCGGACATGTAGTCAATCAAGCCTGTCAGACACAAATATCGGCGGTTAAAGGCAGCGCTGTGGTACAAAAGACAACACCCAGCTCGGAGGATTCGTCGAGCAAGAGCCCTTCACACGCGCCATTAGACCGCAAGAAGAGCATCGGTTCAATGCAGGCGCTCAAATCGCCCATCACTAAGCGTCCACCCACGTCGCCGGTAACGCTCTCCGGTTGGCTCTACAAGCAGGGTTCGGACGGTTTGAAAGTGTGGCGCAAACGTTGGTTCGTGTTGGCCGAATATTGCCTCTACTACTACAAGGGACCCGAGGAGGAGAAATTGCTCGGCTCCATACTTTTGCCATCGTACAAAGTGTCCGCCTGCCTGCCGGAGGACAAAATCTATCGCAAGTACGCCTTCAAGTGTGAACATCAGAACATGCGCACCTATTGGTTAGCCGCCGAGACGGGCGAGTCAATGATGCAGTGGGTGCGCGCGCTCACCGCCGCCACAACTATGCAGGCGCCCACTAGCGGCGAATCCGATCAGCCGAGCGGTTCGTCTTCACTAAATCACAGCGGCGAGAACTCCGACTCTGGCATACACACGCTACAGTCGCAGCAGAGCAAGATGAGCCTCACTCAGGGGCAGGTAACGCCGGCCTCAGAGAACGCTAACGCGAATTCGGCGTCGAGTAGCAACAGCGGCGGCGCTGGTGGTGGTGGTGGGCAGCAGCCTTTGTACGCGAATGCGCCACCCAAGCCTAGACGGATCAACGATGGTGGCTACTCGTCGCCTAGTCCCGAACATTCGATTGACAACGAACGCAAACCGCATCACCAACAGCAACAACAACAACAGCAGGCAGGTCGTCATAGCGGCCTTATGTCACCGACATTGCAACAAATGCAACAACAACAGCAACAGCATTACCATCAACGTGGTGCCCAGCAACCGCAACAACATCATGCCATTTACGATACACGCACCGGTAATGTTTCATCCGCACTGCGGCTGCAGCAAACACAACAACAATACTCCGTAGACCAATTGGAGGCACAATTGCAGCAGCAAATGGCTTTGTCGCCGGAAGATTACCCCAAATCGCCGCCACCGCCAGCTACACACTCGAACTACATGGAGCTCGAGGAGCAGATGTTACGTCTACAACAACAACAACAACAACAACAGCGTGGTGAAGATATTTACGGCGAACGCGATCTGTACATGCAAAAGCTGATACAACAGCGTTATCCACCACACTTGGCGCTCTACCCGAACGCAGAACGTCGTACACCGGACGCATATGGCCGCTCCAAAAATCGCATATTCTCGGATTATGAAGATATTTACAATTTAACCCAAGCCGGTATGCCAACATCAGCGCAGGAGGCTTTGCTACAAGAGGCGGCCAGTTACCGGCGTCCACTCAGCCCGCCCAGCTATGATGGCAGCAAACATGTGCCAGCAATGCCGATGCGTTATACACCCAATCACATGGAGGTAAGTGGGATCATATTTTTTCAATATTTCTTATGCCTAGGCATAATTGAAACGTGAGTAGTTTAGTTTGTGACTGTCCCACTATTTTTTTATGTAAGATGGAGCTACATATATCGTTACGGAGACACTTTTAAATACCCTGGTTAGTCTACTAAAATATTACTCAATTATAATATCTAGCATGTTAACTCATATATTCGGCGTATTGTCAAACAAAAAAAATCGAAATTTTTGCATCGATATAAGGGGACTAACCTATTTGTGGCATTAAACTAGATCATATTCGACAAAATTGTACGTTAACAATTTTTTTTAGATATCAAATTGAAGATATTGAATTGAATTTTAAATTAGCCAATTGAATTTTAAAATTTCTCGTGTTTCCTGCGTATAATTGTCAACATTTACTTTTTATTATGCTGATATACATGTTCCTGAATTGCTATATTCATTGCTTACTTTGTCTGAGGCATCGCTAAGGTTAGACGTGATTTTATGAGTTTGACAATACTGTAACGATGCCCCAGTCTCCATATTCACCAGATACAGCTGTGACTTTATCCTATTTCAAAAATAAAGAGAACCTTAAAAGGCCGCCATTTTACAGGTATAGATGACATTATGCCCCATTTTATTTCATATTTGTAGAGTAATTGGGACAGCCGATATTCAAAAGCTTTTCTTGAGGCGAATTTTACCAACAAAATCATTCGCCATAGACAGGAACAGATAGTAAACACTTGGTGCCAAGTCCGGTGGATGTGTAAGAACTTCCTCAAAAAGTCAGTCAGTATACATATATGTGTACGACCTGCCATTTTCATGATCAAACACTATTCCTCTCCTCTTGATAAAAGTGAGCCGGTTCTGGTCGATTTTTTCCTCCTAAAAGTCCAATTATTAACAATAGGCCCGAGTTAGAATTTGGTTATTTGGAAATAGCTCTTAGTGACTAATTCTTTACCAATACCAACAAACTCATACCAAAACCTTCCGAACCATTATCTGATTTTCATCACCAATAGCATTCCCCCAAAAGGTTTTTTGTAGTGATTCGTGCGGCACCCATACATCTGGCTTCTATTTATAACCAGCCTTATTTAAATCATACCAAATGGTTTTTCGTGTAATTGAAACAACGCTTATATATCGATCGGAACATGTGCAAGTGCATATTTGACTGAAATTTCCCGTATCACCATCATAAACACTATTCATAGGTACTTTTGTTCAGCATGTCTTCCGTTTCCGCCTTTATCGAAGAACTGTAAAACATGGTGTATTTTCTCTTTGCTTTTGTCCAACCAATCACATAACTTATTATTAACTGTATGGACGTCGATTAAGGCCATAAATATTCTCACATCGCATTACGGCAGCGAATGCCCCTAAATACAGCGAGGTAGTAGACGTAGTGGCTGGCGGAAAGTGGGTATATATGAAAGATTTCAGTTCACAAAGTAATTTTATGAAACGAAAGCTGATGAGATTGTCAAATGAGCCATTTGTCTGTCTTCGAACAAGTACTGGAAATCCGGAAGTCACAGAAAGCGATAAAAAATGAAATTTCAGGGCGAGATGGAATACCTTAAAAACATGTAGGATCGCCTAGGTCATTTGGAAATGCCTCAAAGGAAGTCCCGAAAGGATTGCAGGACGGTTGTTGGCCTAATAACAGATCACAATTCACTGGCATCACATAGAAAAGTGGGCATTAGAGAGACTCTGAATCAACTCCCATACTTCTGTCCAAAATTAGCTAGAACTTTTCTTAGATATCTAGTGGCTTCGAAGTTCAATTGACTAGTTGAAGTATTAGATAACAAGTCCGTCTTAAAGTTACCTAATAACGTTGACGTCCTATATGATAAATTCTTCAGCTCGAATTAAAGTAGCACCGACCCGCTACAATTACCCAGGAAGTCTGGAACTGGTGTTGACAAAGAGCTTTTGACAGTAAACCCTTTCACCAATCTTCCTCCCATCCGTAAATAATGTCACGGCTTCTCCCCTTCCACGGTTTCTTCTCATCCACAATTCCCTTGCCGGTATATGGATATAGAAGGAGCCGCTAAAGTTCGGTTTGGCGACTCCATGAACGAAGTGATCCGGTATGTAGTCAAAGTGAGTAGGATTTCCGAGTACTTAGACACGTGTTCTTTTAGGAACCCAGAATCTCTGAGTCTGATAGCAACTTTCGCAGCCAGGGTATGGCTTTCGAAATTTAGTACTTTTGCTACGACTTTCTATATTTTACATATCCAACGAGGTATTCTTATGAGATTACCCTAGTTCACTTCTTCAATCATTTGTAACAAAAACGTTTTGTGGTTTTAATAGCTAAGAAGCTTCATTAAACCCATTTTCAACCATACACTTTTCGGTTTAGTTTGACCATAGTATCCTTTTAACTGCAAAAAATTTAATTTCAACTTTATTTGGATTAAAGAAGCAACATAAATGCGCCACAAAACGACCGTTATACATAGTCCGTGCAACAATAATCTGAACAGCCTCAACTTCTGGGAGATGTAAAGAGGCTTTTTATGGATGTGTATGTGTCAGTATGTGGCAATAGATGCACACGCAGATTTGGTTCGACTAATGGTGCAACATCAATGCACATGTGCACATATACATACACACTGCCTCCTATACTGAGAGCAAAAACACCACAAGCACACGCTTATATCCATGAATTCTAATCCACTGCACCAACTGGCCGCACTGCATCCGAGCTGCAACCAAAGTCTGTTGTGCGGTGACCTTTTCACAAAAAGAAAGCGAATATATTCGGCAACTGTATGCTCAAAACCGAAGAGCGGCAAGCAGTAAGAGGGCTATGAGTTGGTTATTTGAACAGCTTGCACCGCCTGAGGGCGTAGCCTAATCATGCGTCTAATTTGGTATTTACGGGTCAGAACACTGTGGTAGCCACCAAAGCTGGCCAACTGCTGGCATAGTGTGTGCGGAGAATTGTGGCAAAAACTTTTCTTGCCATACTTGCTGCAACATGAACAGTTATGGGCGGGCGCTGTATGTCCACATGAAGCATGGAATGTATGTTACGATAGCCCAGGTGCATGGGTGCATGGCGAGCGCACGGAAGCAAGCAAGAAAGGAGCTGAGGCAGGGTGCGAGTGAACTATTGTGAATATTACAAAGTTGCAATCAAAAACGCCACATCAGTCAAAATACGTATACGTGCCACTCGTAGATGTTCTAGTTTTCCACGTCTTTCTTCGCGCTTTGCTGCTGACTGCAAGTGTGTTTATATGTATATGTGTTCGTTCTGTGGCATGACAAGTGGCCCAACCCATATCCTGCAGGCATTCTGAATTTAATGTGACGCAGCAGTGACGTGCCGCGCGGTGGCATGCCACCAATAAGAAGTTGTTGTGCTTGTAACGTTAAAAGCACGCGCTCACCTACTTACCTATGTACCGGCATTTATTTAAGTATCTCACTCACCCCCTCAGCTAGTTGAGGTTGCTTTCTATTTGTTTGTAGTTGGGTCATATGTTGCATAAATGAAAGTCGAGCATTGCTTGCAACTCAACTCTGTGTATTATATGTATATTTGGTACAACGGTAATGCATTCTTATATTTGTGGAACAAAATAAAAGTGGACTACAAATATATACGCACGCCTATCCCGTAGCAAAGTTTCAACGTTTTCAAAGTGGTAATGGAATTTCATGAGAATGGAATTGAACATCTCCAAAAAATCGATTTATCGCATTTTGACCGAACATTTGGTCTTACGTAAGGTGTGTGCACGGTTTGTTCCGCATAAATTGACTGTCGACTAAATGTTGCTCTCATCCATCGACGCATGTGACCGATTATTTGATAAAAAAAAATCACCTGCAACTTCTTCCTTTTCGGAAAAATTCATTTTCCCATGAAAAAAAAGCGTTATGCAGACGTAGAGGCTATTCAAAAGGCTTGTGGTCATACCGGCCAACGAGCTACAACACTCGTTTCGACATGCTAGTTGACCGTCCAAAAAGCTGTATTGAATCAGAAGGAGACTATTTTGTATAAAATAAACTGATTTTTCCGAAAAAGTCATTTGTTCTGTTTTTAAGTCCTGTTAACTTTGGAATTCCCCTTGTTTATATATTTGTATAAATGACGTCGCGAGTTGAAATCCAAGTGCCTGTTTGTGTGTCCGTCGACACCTCCGTCTATAATCTGCCCAAGTGATATCTTGAAATCCCACATTTTAGAATCTACACGACCAATTTCAATCAAATTAGATTATTTTGAGAATCATTTATTGTAGAATCATTTATCACACATATATTCCATTCAAACACAATTTTAAATTATATTCTGACTATTTCACTTTCCAGTATACAAATCGAAATAAATAAATCAATATGTAACTTTGAACGAATATCGCCTCTGAGATGTGCTACCTTATGACCAAAAATTGTCAAAGCCCTGATCGACAACCTATCAACCTGTCTGATATATTATTGAAAACTACTGGCCTTGGACGTCTTTCTCAGTATGCGTCAGCGAAAATATTAGAAAGGTGTTTTTGTGGGGAGTTCTTCGTCATTACCTTAATATGAAAAGCACCTTAGTCGAAACTTTTTGCATTTTAGTTGAAGTTTCTTGTTAACATGCTCTTGCTGAGCAAACGTGCCAAAAATGGGTTTGCACAATTTAAAATTTTAGTTTGGATGAGAAAGAAGTTGCCAGACGGCCAAAAAGCAAGTCACAAATTTGAAGAAGTGGAATTGGAACATTATTCGATAAAGATTGTTGACAAATACAAGAAAAGGTCGCAAAATCAATTTGTTTCGGCTTTGATCCTTGAAGTTGCGAGAACATAAAATGTTTGGTTACGCCTGAACTTGGTCTTCTTCAATTGTTAAAATTATTTTTGAACTTTTGTGCTTTAATCGCCTTACTATCCTTTCCACTAGATACATTTATTCCTTTTATTTCACGGCAAGAGTAGGAAAAAATCTGTATGCTATAAAAAATTTATTCAAATACTAAGAATTATACCATTGCCTACATTTGGGTGCATTTTTAGGTTTTATTTTGTTGTCTGCCAAACCTTTATGTAAAATTGAAACGACACTATAGCTTCTCTCTAAAACTATGCAATATTCTACGCTGTTTTTATATGTGTAAATATTAAATATTGCCTACCTTCAGGCAAAAAGAAATTTTAATCTATTTTTTTATTATATATTCATCATTTTAATGTAAAGAAACATCACATTTTCCTCCGAACAATACTATATAAAAGTTCTAATGCTTCTATGATTGCATTTAATATCACAAAAATATTAATGTTGCCTACATTTGGGCGCACTTGTGACAAATAGTTCAGATCTAAGCCCGCTTTAATTAGAATTGTCTACCTAATATTGCCTTAAAAATATTTTATGAGGCCCAAGGCTCAACATTTGAAGTTCTCATGCTGTTAAAATTAATAGTTTCTTTCGTTAATCAGTCTTGGAATAAGGATTTCAACCAATATTTACCTCTATTTGTGCCCACCTTAATTTTCCATTCTCCTGCAATTAGTTGCAGAATCTTGACTCCGAGCAAAGTTTGAAACTTATTGTACTGCGCATTACTCCCTACTGCCAACTTATCTGAGTGCGTTGAAAAAAGTAAATATATATAGACTACCAGGTGCAAGCTCACTTAGTCATGCGCCTAGGTACCACCATACAAGCTTGTCAGTTGATAGCATGATTTTAGTGCGCAAAGTTGTGGCAAATATTACAACTTTCGTTTCATTATGCATTTTTAGGTAGGTGGGCGTAACGTACTACTGCCATAACCTCGATTTGCGTACAGTGTGTGCTATTTGCTGTTATTTTTGTAACTTTTGCAAATTGGTAGGAAAATGGCTTGCCGCTAATGCCACATCAAAAGCGATACAAGGAGTTTACGTTAACGCAAGCACGCAATTGCGCTACACACATTGCATACATACACATACGTTGCAACTAAGTGCTTCATAATTCATCTGCACACACCACGCCACTATATCTTTTTAGTTCATGGCAATTACTTTCCAATGAAAGTTGGCCTTAATAGTCTAAATACATACAATTTTGGTCGTGCAATTTTGTTCTAGAGTTTTTGTAAATAATTAATTGCATGCGACTAATTATATTTGCATTTGCAAACGACAAATTTTAAAGTTTGCACCAGTGCGTTGCGCTAATTGTATGCACATGCAACATGTTGCACTGAGTATAGTAGTTTGCACAATGCATTTAAGTAATCAATTATACAGTTATTTATTCACAAGTAGGCCCACGAATGTTTCCCTTTATAAGACGAGTTCGAGCGTATGTTCGTCTTTGGTTTTTTCGAGAGTCATATTCCTCAGAAGTCAAAAACTCAGATATTGACCTTGTGATTTGTTAATTCGTCACGGCTTCGAATAGAAAATTTAATTTATTTTAACTCCAAAAAGTTGGGATCTAGGGAATTATCGAAAAATTGGCCAAAATTAGTTATCTCGATTATTTGTTTAAAGAGTATATTTCCAAATTTTAAATTGTTCTGTGCCATAATCAAGGATCAGTGATCATCAAAATCGGTCAAGTAATTCTTGAGTTATATGAAAATGGTGTAACTAACCCCACTTTGTGTCACTTTAAATTTGATATATATTGGTGTCGTACGCTACGTGATAGCGTAACTTTATTATTGTACTATTGTTCCAGTATCCCGAAAATGTGTTGAAAAGCTTCGGTACTTCGGAGCTCGGAGAGTCGGTACTTCGTTGAGCTCTTTTGTTCTGGTGAAGAACCTATGGATCTCCCTTATCACGACATTCAAAGGTCAACAACCAAAACTTGTGCAGCCGAATAGAAACGTAAAAGGTCCGTAAAGATGTTCTGACTGAACACTGTCCAAATAAATTCATAAGCACTGCGACCAAATCAGACTCTTTTACCAGAGCTGTGTAGAACATGGTGAGATGCAAACATATAGTCACTTTCTCGTCTACTCCACGGTTTCTCGTCTACTCCCCCCAGGCTGACATTGAAGAAGCTAGGTAGATACATCTTCGGCGAACTTAGCGAAAAATCTTAAAAACAAACCGGATGGAACGATCATCCTAAAAGATGACTATTCCTCATGGACCTAGTTACTAAACTTCATCTGGTATAGTAAAATAATAATAAAATATCTTAAGTGGACTTTAAAAGTTAGGTCATGGAATCACAGCAACAATATATAAAAGTGAAAGCTGCCTCTCGATCATTTAAAATAATTCCTTTTAAATACTAAATATATGTATCTAGAACAATGATCAACTTGGCTGCGAAAAAGTTCAATAAGATCAACTGTTGTCATCAACGGAAATTACTTAGTGAACGACGCAATATTTTTTTTTTTTTCGAAAATACTCAGTATCGCTGAAATATTTGCGCTTCGCTGGTGGACCTTTGTTAACATCAACTCCGTATGCATAACTCCAAAGTTTTATAGGTCATGCAAAGGACGGAGAACAACAAGACTGACGAGCGTCGCAAATTGCGCCGTTGCGTGTCCGCCGTCATTGTTATGCTCCGCAGTCGCTGCCGAGATTGTTGACAACGAATCGAAAAGAATGAAAGCAGTAAGAAATACGGTATATTGTCAATACGGGCGTAATTAAGAATTTGTGGCGCGTCGCTTTCGGTGGCATGTGCGATAATCGACAAAGTCGAAAAGGACGACGGCAATAGGTGGATACAAAAGGATGAAAGCGGTATAACTAGATTATCGGCGAAATATAATGATTGAATTTTGCATGAAATCGTCCAATTAATAGCAAGAGAGTAAGAGGTGAATATACACATTGAGGTTGTGTTCGTTTATTAAAATGTGCCGTTTTGAAGAAACGGGCAAGCGGACTCTTTATGTATTTCAATTTACTAGCGATAGTTCTGAAAGATTTGTCTATGCAGAAATATTGTAGCGAAATATCTCTGAAAATATAAATTAATGAAAACTCAAATTAAAAATCTTGACGAAAAATTAATTTAATTAATTAAAAAATTAAAATTAAAATTATAATAAAAATTAATTTTAATGAATTAAAAAAAAAAATTTGTAATAAATAAAAACTTTTGTTTCTTCCTTCGACAGGCTGCTCAACAACAACAACTAACCGCCAGCAACAGCAATTTACGTTCACGTCAACCCGCCGCGATCGTGCGCCCACATTCGGCGGATTTTCTGGAATACGAAGCGCGCGCCGAATCAGCGGCCGCAGCTGCAGCCGCCGCCGGCACCAGCAACTTATCGAGCGCCATCAAACCAGATGCAGTGCGCGCGCCACGCCCCAAATCCTCGTTAGACATCAATCGCACACCGGACAGCTTCTACTACTCAGAGGCTAGCTACGCGGAGAAGATGCGCAAAAGCGCGCTATACTTGCAACATCCAAAAGGCGCCACAAATGCACAGCCACAGCAGGCGGGCGGCTATCGCACCGCCAGTGATTTCCTTAGCCCCCTGGGTAGCGGTATGCATACTATCGGTTATGAAAATCCCTACGAACGCGCCTACAAGCGCGGCGAGCAATTACATGATGGGCAAGGTGCCGCTAGCATGCCGCGCATGAGTCGCAGCAATACAACGACCTCCATGAACACGAGCAGCTTGGCGCATTTGCGCTCACAATCGATGCATCCGCAACAAACACAGGCACTGCTCTCGCCACAGTCACAGTCACAACAGAAGCAGCAGCAACCACCGCCGCCGCAAAAGCCTGTCTATACGCCAACCATGTCGACGCAGCAGATTATTCAGCAGAGCGAACAATTCCTACGCTCGGCAAGCGCACGCCTGCCCAAGCGCAGCGGCGGTTTCGATGATGACTACAACAGCGCGACTACCACTTCACCGCCGCAACAGCAACAACAACAACAGCAGCAACAGTCATCATTGCAGTCATCACAGTCACAATCACAATCATCTTCACAATCACAACATCAGCAGCATCAACATCAGCCATCGGCACAAGATGGCGAACGCAAGCGTGAAGAGTCGATGAAACGTTTGCTGGAGTGGAAGCAGCGCATGTTGCAGTCACCGTTGACGCGCAAGGGCATGCAACAAGGTGGCAGCAATATGTCGGCCATGTCGAAGCTTGGTAGCAATCCGAACATACTGCTCGCCTCGACGACGGTGGCGAGCGGCGCGCATTATGCCGCCACCAATACGAGCGGTGGCAACAGCAGCGGCGGCAATGCGGTTGGTGGTAGTGTTGTGGCTGGCACTGTTGGCGCGGGTAGTGGTGGCATCACCACTATGGCGACTGGTGGCAGTCTGGTCGGCGGCGTAGGCGGTATACAGCGTAGTCGTTCGGATGCGCATGCGAACCTCGGACCAGCCGGCTACAATAGTTACTCGTCGGACGATGAAGGTATGTGGAATCTTCTTATATACACATTGTATATGTTTTATGGCTTAACTTGCTTCTAACTGTCGCTGCCTTTTTATTGCTCAACAATGCGCGTGTGAAAAGGGTTTTCATTATGGTCTTCGCGCAAGCAAGTAAAAAAGAGTTATAAAGATGGTGAAGATGTTTCTCACCTCATCTCACCTGGGCAATATTTTTAGCGCTTTCCTTAGTCTAGCAGCATTATCGGAAAACCTTTATTAGTTAGGGTCTATTGTTTTATTTTTTGGGAATATTCTGAATATCTTTTAGGTTGTTTTCACTGATCGTGTAGAATTAGACAATTGAAAACAATATGATAGGGGGAATGTGGCAAGAGCTTAAAAAAATTTAACGAATTTTCTAAAGAAGTTTTTCGATCCTTAGACGAAATAATTTCTAGAAGAAGAGCTTATTTGTTTAAGATCTGTCGCTGACTCATCAAGCACATTCGACCTTGACATGATATAAACACACTTGGAATATCACTTTCTATGCCTCTTTTGTATAGATCAACTCTTCTTATGTGGAATTGAAAAATTGAAAAAAAAAATTAGGAATCATCCAATTCTCAAGTCATGATTATTATTGTCCTCAGAGCATATTCTGGTATGTATCAGATAATATTATCCTTGAAAAGTTAAGCTGATAAGATTAACACGAGACGAGTTGAGCCGACTTAGCCATGTTCGTCTGGCTGTCCTTCTGTCTATCTTTCTGTTTGTCCTTCTGTATGTCTGTTTGTATGTATATACGCGAACTAATCTTACAGTTTTTGAGATACAGATCTGAAAGTTTGCATATATTATTTTCTTTCGAAGAAACTCATTTGTCGAACCCCAAAGACATCAGACCTTTATACATAGAATAAAGCCGTCATACAAATTGAAATTTCAAAATCAAGTTCTTGCATGGATTTTTTTTGTTATTTTTTAAGCATTAAGTAGCTCCAAAAAAGTGTTTTAGAATTATTCACTTTGAGTTACAATAGGAAAGTAATTAGTCATCAACACATGCCTTTAGAGAGAAAACTGCTAATCTACTATAAACCCACATAAATGTTTTTATGGAAAACTTGAAATTAATTAGTGCAAAATATGTTGATTTAGTATATAATAGAACTAGTTGGATTTCGTACTCATTAGGGTAGTAAATATGACTAGTCTTTAGGAATTTGAAAACAGCCAATCTACTTTGGTAGCTTTTTGGGATACTTCATCGAAGATGTTTGAATAAAAAATAAATAAACTTTTTTCATATAAACACATAATAAGTGACACGGGTATGTGTTCCTTTGCGAGTAGTCATAGACCACTCTCGGATCAGTTGCATTTTTTGGATGGATATGCTATTTTCTTTGTGCCTAATCGCGAACTACGCTCGGACTAGTTGTAATTTTTGTAGCCAGAGAGACCTTTATCAGCTCTCACAAAACAGCAAAATCGAGTACAACGTTTAGAAATTTTAAGTTTTAATATTTTTTGTAACCACTTAAGTGTATAAAAAACATTAATTGTTTTAAATGTTACATCAACACTTTAGAACTTTTCAATATAATCGAAAGATAAACATTTCAACTGTGCGAAAACCATAATGGAATTCTTGCGCATAACATTGTTGTTGCCTAAATTTTTATGTTCTTATTTTTTATCTTTAAAATTCATGAGATTCGCTATCTATACAAACATATGTCAAATTATCTATTATATAACATACGAGCTCTATTATTGTAAGTGTTTTATGTACTTACGCCTCTCTTATGACACACAAACTCTTGCCTGTTAAATGCCTCCTCATATCCCTTCTTACTTTGCATTTCTCTTTGTGCCTTTCTCATTTGTCTACAATTTCATTTGCTTATCTCCGCTATGCTCTTCTTCTTCACTGTTTTGTAAACCCTTATTTATTTATATATTTCATTCTTTGCATTGTAGTTACTAATACTTTAGACTCAGAAAAACTCTGCTACATTAAATTCTTGCGTAAGCCTTTGTTATTTGTTTGTTTATTTATTTGTTTATCGTAGCTGTTGCATTTGCATATTATTTATTCGTATTTATTATCTTCTTACGACTGCGTTCGCTGCCACAATAGATCTGTGATAACCCTTTGACGGCTGCTTGACTTAACTGCTTAGTTACCACTACCTCTATTTATATATATATTTATACACACACACATATATAAAATATAAAAAATTGTGTATTCTAAGTATACGGTAAATGCTTAACTAGCACAGCTGTCACTTGAATACCGTTAGAATGCCAAGTTGCGCCATTGCTCTACTTTGCCATACGCTCGTTACCCGCTAGCTGCTCTCCTCTCTCTCTGCCCCTCCGACTCAACTGAYTGACTGACTTTCAAAACATTTCACTGTTGCAATGCCATAATTTTCCGTGACTCATAACTTTGCCAGCACCATGCCTTAGCATCCTTATTATTATGCCTTTTCTCTTCTTCTTTCATTTCCATTTTGCTCATTTTAATAATTTTCTCTCGCGCATTGCTTGAAAATGTGATTTTTACCGTATTCACATTTTTTACGACTCGACACAGCGGCAATACGACGACGACAATGTGACTGCTCGTCTGCACTCGACGCAGTGAATATGGCCGCGGCGGGTCGCCATCATTCACTCACCGCCAGCGTAGTCACCGTAGTCACCGGCTGACTGACCTTCTCGTGTTCATTTTTACTGCTATTGCCGCTCTTTAATCCTTTTGATGTGATTCCATGTGCTTTTTATGAGATTTTTAGGTCGCGGCTCGCGCGTACATAATTCGCAGCTGTTGCAACGGCTGCTTCTGCCGCTGTTTCCCCGGTGTGTGTCGCAGTGGCAGTTGGATATTTAATGAAGGTTAGCTTTTTAAGCGGTAAACTTATTTACTGTTATTGCTGTAGTGGCAGAGCGCACGCTGACGTCGGGGAGCCCAAGTTTGAAGTGCTCGCGGAAAGTTAAATATTAGCAAAAAAAAAAAAAAAAGCCTCGCGGCAGGTTGTGTTCAGATTTAAGTTAATATTTAATAGATTAACCCTATAAATTTTGTTAGTAAAATATTGAAAATAGTAGTAAATTTTCAGAGAAGAGCATTTTTCAGGTGAAATCTGTATACCACATATGAATTTTTAAACAGACCAAATTTAATCTTCGTTAATGTGCCAAGTAGTCTGGTCACTGAGACTGATGAATATATTGTTAAGTCGGACAAATTAGTGGAAGCTGATACAAGGTTAAAATATTATGCTATCATAATTTTCTATAACTTACCTTACCTCCAAGGGGATATTACTACTAAACTAATATAATCATACTTATAAGGTTTATTGAAACAAAAGAAAGATCATTTTTTTTTTAATAAAATTTAATGTTTTATTTAGCATAGTTGGAATTATCAGGGTAAGGTCACGTATGCACCATATTGTTTGATAACCTGTTGCCACTTTTAAGGAAATGCCATTGTCATAGAAAACTCCGCCTATATTGATAAAAAACTGAAATGGTCTACTGTAGTTGGCAGGTTCTCCTGAGGCTAATTCGTCACCAGCAAAACCATCCACAGCAATAGATAATAATCGCCAGCAAAATCATTCACCATAGACAATAACAGATAAATAATCACTTGGTGCCTGGTCCGCATTTTAAGGAAGTTGTATAAGAACTTCCAAAATAAGCTCACGGAGCTTGTATCAATGTGAATGAAATCCCACCAAATACATAACAAAACCTTCTAAAATATACGTTTTTAGCTTAGAAACCGTCATTATCATAATTAACCGACATTACATCACCAGTAATCAACCGCATTTGAAATGATCAATTTGGTTGCGATTCTGCGATTTAGCTGCAGTTCTCATATGGAAACTCAGTCTATGCAATTTTTTAGGTTAGCAAACTCGTTGAAATGGAACACACCAAGCTATTTTTGGATCCAGCCGTATTTAAATGATTCCAAACATTTTTTAACAACATTAACATTTTTTTAGCTCCTGGCGAGGTTCATTGCGAACATGATTAAACTCTTGGCTTAAGTACTCATATATCAACTAAAGCTGAAATCTGCATTAAGTATTAGGCAGATAATTTTAAATCTGCATTTTAATTGCATATCTGCGGAAAACTCCTGGTTGCATTTTACCACACCCGACTTGTCAACCCTGGTGTTGCTATCTGGCAATTCACAACTTTTTCGTAAAGTTTCACAATTTTTTTGTTATGCACACTCAATACGTTTTGACATGCGAGCGCTATTTGTGCTGTTTACAGTAACTTAAAATATTCATATGGATCATAAAGTGAAATTTAATCGGGAACATTTTCCTGCAATCATTTTTACAACTTGCGACATGCATTAATGCAGCAGCGATGCATTGATGATTTTTATTTCATTTTTGACGATGAAGGTCCATCAAGAACCAATATTTAACGATGGTATGGAGAACTCAATCACAGAAGTAGATCACTCCAACACGAATTTTACGAAGGTTGTTCAAATCACTTGTTATTCCGGAAATTTTTGATGCTGTGCGCAAACTGGTAAGACAATGTCGTCATGTGACTTATCGTGAGATTAAGACAACTATAGGCATTATTGGTAACAGCAAATACGCAATCTAGCAAAAACATTTGACTGTAAAAAAATATTTGTTCACGGTGGAGCCTATACAACTTGTCGATCGCTCTCGTTTTGTCGGGAGAAATGCTAAAAAAAAAAAAATACAATAGTGATGCTTCGAAACACGGCTGTCGTAGAGACGAGTCTTGGACTTATACGTACGAACTCAAAAATGAAAAGCAGTCGATTGGATGGGTGCTTCAAGATGAGCCGAATCCAACAAAAATTGTTCGCGCACAAAGCACTTTCGAGCAAATGGTTGATTGTTCTGTTGCAAAAACTGGATATATCGCCACCATTCCGCTAGAACAAATCAGAACAGTAAAATTTAAGTGATAATTAGCCATTTGCTTGCAAGTTTTCTTTCAAGA